ACTTGAAACAACTTATCTCGGATACTTCATTATTTTCAAATTTATGCAATCTTCGCTACAGGTTGCCTGATACCATATTAAAATAGAAATCACTCCTTTGTTGTGGAAAACAGTTTCGATATTTTGTTTTTATTTGTTTGTTGTTAAGCTCAAAGCTGCACAATGGGTTATCTATGCTATGTCTACCACGGTTTCCAAACCCGGTTTTTAATGTTGCAAGCCTTCAGACTTATTGCTGACCCGCTGAGATCTCATATTTTGTTTTTCGTGAAATTAAACATAAAAAACTAACTCTATGAACAATAACATTTAGTAGCTTACAATTTCTTTAATTTGTGGTTGTTATCTTCAAAATATGCCAGTAGCTGTTTAAAAAAGTACATAAGTTTATTATAAGCAATTATTATTGATCAAATGTTGTATACTAGAATTTCAAATTCGCAGGCTTTAAGGTAATAATAGCAGTGAAGTTGGTGAATTAGGATTTCTGGGCTTGTCATCTTCTAAATGTTTGTAGCTTAGAACACTGGTATACTAGATCTTGTGAAACACATCTTACGGGTGTTTCTCGTCGTTCACGTAGGTGTTTGTTTGTTTGTAATTAAGCACAAAACTACACAATGGGTTATCTGTGTTGTATCGAAACCCGGATTCTAGCGTTAGGTGGAGAACTTCTTAGAAGAGGTTTAATTTGAAAAGTATAGCGTTAGTGGTATCTCATCAGAAATACCTCTTGTTACCCTCTTCATCATATATATATATATATATATCATGTAAAGTAAAAAACATTAATCAAGTTTTCTTTCAACCTACCACATGCATATATACATATGAATAGATATTAAAAATTGTGATTAATCACATGAGATGAAAGATAGAACAACATGCGCTAATATTTACATATAATGAAATCATGAAGTACATCTGTTGTGACACAACATAAACGCATCATCTCCACAACTTGTCATTCTAATGCGATCTGGAATATCATTTGAATGACCAATGACCTTATTTTCTCAGAAAACTGTCAAGAACTGTGACACAATCGGAGGGGAGTCGTCACCACTTGTCTACCATGTGTTGACAGTTAGAGGTTAAGTGAAGTAACAAAAACGGGAAGCCTTGGTTATTGATTTAAGTTTTTAAGACCTTTTTTCTGTTTATTTTGTTGTGTGAGGAATTAATCGTTAAGTTTTTTCGCACATTTTCTAGAAGAATAAAATAACAATAAAAGTCAAAACTAACATAGTTCCTCAGTATTTCACAAAATGCATGTGGATTAGTATTAATATACAATTATACCCTCTAAACTTGTATTAGGATTAATATACAATTATACCCTCTAAACTTGTATTAGGATTAGCATTCATATACAATTATACCCTCTAGCTTTGTATTAGGATTAGCATTAAAATAAAATGATACCCTCTAAACTTCTATCATATCTGCCCCCCCAGTGGCACAGCGGTATATCTGTGGGCTTACAACGCTAGAAATTGGGTTTCAATACCCGTGGGGGCAGAGCACAGATAGCCCATTGTGTAGCTATGCGCTTAACTACAGACAAACAAATCTACCATATTCAGTATATTTGTATTCACTTTTTATAAAATGTTTGCATTGATATAAACTAGCAAAACACGAGAATTATGGAAATATTTTTTGTTTATCAGTAGAAAAAGGAGGGTTTGAATAAGAGAAAAATATATCGAACTTCTGAAAAACTTGCCAGTTTTGATAACTTAAGTAAAAAAGGGCAAAAGTCACGTGTAACTGATAAAAATATTTAATAAAATCATGTATGACTTGCTTCTCGCTTACCATATGCAGCTCCTGCATACGTTTAGTTAGGCAGACGTTTATTGCCGCCATCCAGATGGTTATGGCAGAGTCTTGTCCTACTGACAGATAGATGAAATAAGTACGCCCTTGCTACGCATAAACCTGTGAACTTGTAGCACGCGGGAATTCTGCATACATTTATGTTACTTCTTAAGATAAGGTGAAACTTGAAAAAACTATTGATACGTCCCTCGAGCAGCTTAAGTTAGATCACACTTAGAAAAGCTCTCTCCAGACGGCGCTAACTGACGATTAGTGAGTGCTAAAATACTATTTTCAGTACTGTGTAACGTACTTTACGACGCGAGTATGCATCCCCTAATATGTCTTTCTAGTAGTGTTCTGAAAAATTATTATTGACTGAATTTATTCTATGTACGATTGCCCTTTATATACGTTTATAAAACTTGGAGCTAACTTTATTTTCTCAATAAATAACAGTAATGGGTGAAATCGCGCATCATATATCATTTAGGCAGATAGAGACCGTGAACAATTTGTATTCAAACTTGGGTGTAGATTGTACTAAAACGAAAATTATAGTATTTGGAGACTCCTATAAAATTGATTATTGTGTGAAAGTTACCTTGAAACTAATACTACTAGACTTTTAGGACAAACATCAACCCCTACGTAAGCTGCGTCTTCTTCTTGATGTTGAAGATAGAACGAAATCATCAATTAACCCGTAGAATGATGAATTCATATTAACATTCTCGGGTCACATTTTTATCAAGTCCTCCCTGTTAAATAATTTACATAGGAATACACAACTCACGCTGACAGAAGGTAGACGAAAATTATCCACATACTATTTAATATATATATGTGTGTATAGAAGGTATTCGGAAATTATCCACATATTATTTGATATATATATATCTGTGTGTGTGTGTATAGAAGGTATTCGGAAATTATCCACATACTATTTAATATATATATATATATGTGTGTGTGTGTGTATATAGAAGGTATTCGGAAATTATCCACATACTATTTAATATATATGTGTGTGTGTGTGGGTGTATATAGAAGGTAGACGAAAATTATCCACATACTATTTAATATATATATGTGTGTGTGTATATAGAAGGTATTCGGAAATTATCCACATACTATTTAATATATATATATATATATATGTGTGTGTGTGTATAGAAGGTATTCGGAAATTATCCACATACTATTTAATATATATATATATATATATGTGTATATAGAAGGTATTCGGAAATAATCGATACGTCTTCAAATGGATTTAAAAAAAAGGTCCTTGGAAATGACTCAACTTCTAAAACTGAATTGAAATTAACCGATATGTTGTTTAGTAGAAGTGAATATGAAAACTGGAAATGACTGATAGGAAAGCACATATTTTGTAGTTAATGTAGTTAATAGATAATAAATAAAGGAAGTTTGGAATTTCAAGATGAAGGTCTTGACGTCATCTGGCTATGTTTTGTGTGTTTGTATTTGTTGATGAGATAAGATTAGATCCTAAATATTTCAGTATTGGAGTTTCAAAATTAAAGAAATCACAGAATAGGTCGCTAGCACATTTTCAGTTTGTAAAGAGCTTCTAACTTCTTTGTTTATTTAAAACATGGACAGTGAGAGAACACACACTGAAAACGTATTTAAGGTAAAACGCTTAGGAAGTGAGATAAATCAACATAATATTGGATACCGTGTTTCATATTTTCAAAGTTGTTATTTTTTAATGCCAATAACATAACTTCAGAGATAGTTAGTGTATTCTTTAATGTATGACTTTAACTAGGCAAAATTGCCCCTAACTCAAAGGTAACTAGTACCTGTACAAGCTGGTGCAAAAGAAAGTAAAACACATCTACAGATCATGAACAGATTATTGGAAAAAAACTGAAAATGCAATTAAAAGTAACTCATACGAACTGCAAATGGTCAATCCATAATTCAGTGACAAGTTATTGTATTTAAAGGCGTGACTTTCATATTAAGATTAGGGCTTAAGAATTAAAATTAATAAATATATTCTATTATACTAAGTGAGTACATAAAGAGATATTTCTGAAAATATATTGGGTTTATATTTGGTTATAGTTGTAGTGAATCTATTAATATTTGTTTAAGATGTAGACAGTATATTGGGCTATAGTTGTAGTGAATCTATTAATATTTGTTTAAGATGTAGACAGTATATTTGGCTATAGTTGTAGTGAATCTATTAATATTTGTTTATGATGTAGACAGTATATTGGGCTATAGTTGTAGTGAATCTATTAATATTTGTTTAAGAT